TTTTTTTTGTCTCTCTTTTTGAGGGAAAATAAAACATGGCTTCAGTGTTTCTTCTTTTCAAGTTTTTATTTTCTTTTCTAATTGATTTCAAGAATTTGGCCCACAACATAGCACAGAAATAATTGAGCAAAGAATTTTTGCTGTAAACATAAAACTTGTCAAACTGTTTAGCATCATTAATATTAGACATTTTCTTGTGTTCTACAGGATCTGAAATTCATGGGTGGGATTGAGAATATATAGAAGTTTAAAAAGTGAGTTTTTCAATGAGATTCACCACAGATTTTTATCTGAAACACCAATTAGGGAATGGATATATATATATATATATATATATATATAGGCAGCATATCTTCATTCAGACATGTTTCATTGAATAATACAGACATATGTCATATATTATTTTTATAATAATCCTTTCTAGTTCTCTAATTATTTTCTTGAAATTCATCAAGGAAGGTGTCTTAATTCTTGTTAACCTAAGTATTTTTGACCTCATGACAGTTACATTAAATTCATCTTCACAATTCACCCCTGAGGATGATCTCAAAAGGGATCAAAAGTACTTGGGTTAATAAGAACTAGGGTGATTTCCTTGATGAATTTCAACAACATCAAGAAGATAATTAGAGAACTAGAAAGGATTATTATAAAAATAAATAGACATAATATGTCTATATTATTCAATGAAACATGCTTAAATGCTGCTGACTGCCCAGACTGACCGTGACAGATCTCTTCCTTGGCCTCCTGTTGACTGCCAGTACTTCCCTGTGTGACCCCTTTTATGGCGTTTTTTATGGCTTAACAGGCTTGAAAAATGACACGAGTATAATTAGGAGGGAAGCATTTTTATTGGTCGAAAAACAGAAACACTTTAAAATATTATTTTATTTTTCGACCAGAACTCGTGTGTCGGGCCTATGTGCAAATGATGATAATAGTCATTTTGTGCCGGGGCCTTGTCCCATTCACATCCAGTTCTTGCTCTTGTGTATGTTAGTTTATTTGCCTGCAAATCAGCTGAGATATGTCTTATTTTATTTTATAACAATATATATATATATATATATTTAGGCAGCATATTTTTATTCAAGCATGTTTTTTTAATATCTGGAATTTACGAAGCTACTGTATACACATCCACAGATATTTTAACCCCCTGAAGATGGTCTCAGATGTGATTGAAAGTACTTGGGAAAATAAAAAATATTTGAAAGAGAATTTTTTAATTTTTCTTCAATTTTCTACAGCCACCAAGAAATGAATTTGTGGACTTGAAAGGATTAAAACTAAAATAAATAGACATACTACATCTAAATTATTTAACCAAACTTGCTTGAATGAAAATATGCTGCCTAAATATATATATATATATATATAGTAATGATCCATTACTCCACCGTGCCTCCTATGGAGGCACGCTGGAGTAATGGATAGCAGTTTGAATTGAGGAATCGGAGAGCCGAGTTTGAATTCCAGTCAAATCCATTACATTCTCTTACGTGCTAATACCCTTGGGAAAGGTATGAATCCTCTTACTCTCCCTCCAGCTATGGGTAAAATAGCAGGACAGACTGGGTTCTATAGCCTTGGATGGCAAATGGTTTAGGAGAAGGACAACTCTGAATTCAAAACCTGCGGAAAAAACTTTTGGGAACCTTTGTGGCATTCAGTGCACCAGGTCTCTGTATTCGTCCCTTCAAAAAGTGTGGATGGTCCTGAAAAGGCCTTCACCACTATAATCAAATCTCATGTGCTGGTGTCGGGCTGTCAGTTTCCTGGAAACTGATCTGCTTGACCCTCATACGTCGAATCTCGACGGGAGAGTCGATTATATAGTAATGATACAATATGGTAATCTGTATGAAATTTCCAGGAGGATATAGATCTAGCAAGAGTTCTATGTCAAAAGACAGAGCAAAATTATTATTAATTAAAGAATATTAAACACTTAAATTCCCATAGGTAATAATTTTTAATTTCCTGAGAGCTCTAAAAAACAGCAGCTCTCAATCTTCAAGACCTATTACAAACAAATCACAGATGAAATGGAAAAAAATATTATGGGTTAAAAAGAAGAGATATTGTTATCTTTTTTAGAAAGTAGGGAAAAGGGCAGAGGGTGTTGACCTATTTTGACCTACTGACCCCAGTATGTCATAAAGTGTGAATCTGAAACAATCCCATCTGTTTCTGTCAACGGGGCAAATTTTCAATTTTGACTATATTTCTTTTTTATTTTATTTTTTTTTTTTAAGCATTTCACCCCAAGCAAGGCAGGAAGCCACTAGCATGCAAGGGGTTACAGAGAGTTAGAGCAAGAGCAAAGAGGAGTGATAGAAAAAAGGATGAAGAGAAGGATAGGGGATAGACCAAGGCATCTGGAGACATTGATTGACATTACATTTGAATAGTTGGAGATTATAGCTATCAGGAAAACAGGAAAAGGGGAGGGAGTACCACAGGTGAGAAATGCAAGCCATGAAGCTACTGGAGTAGAAGAGATGGCTACATTTAACAGTGAAAGTGTGAGAGCAAGATGCAAGCCTAGTTAAATGCTTAAATTTGTGAAGTCTGGGAACCAGTGAAAGCAGCTCATCAGAGCAGTTACCATGAAAGTATTTGTAAAAAAGACAGAGGGAGGCAATGGCACATCTGTGAGAGTGTGACTATTCATTCAACAAATTATTTGCAAATAATAATAAAAAAGAACATTTTTAAAGATTTTGAAATTAGCAAAAAAGTTTTCATAATCTTTTTATATAATTAACCAAGAAATTTAAATTAAAATACTTATATTCAGAGAAACATATTTATATCTAGAGTTTCTTAGATTTATTTATTGATATTTAGCAGTTTATGAATGTACTTTAAACTAAGGAAAAGTTAGATTGGGGTTAATTCCCTGTATTTCATTCAACGAATTGTGTAAATAATATTAAAAAAGTGTCTGGTTCAGAATATTTTTTAAAGTTTTTTTTGAAATTAGCAAAAAAAAATTTTTTTATATTAAAATTAAAATTTTTATTTCACGACAGCTCTAAAAAAGCAGCTATCAATCTTCAAGACATAAAACAAATCACCAATGAATGGAAGAAAAATATTCCAGATTCAAATCAAGAGATATTGCTATCTTATTTAGAGAGTGGGAAAAGACAGAGAGTGTTAACCTATTTTGATATACTGACCTGAGTATGTTATTTGAGGATGGTGGAAGGGCTTAAAGTTTATTTAGTTCACTGTGAATTGAAACAATTCCCTCTAGTTCTGTCAACAGCCAAATTTCAAATCTTTTACATTTCATTCAAGAAATTAATTGTGAATAATATAAAAAGAGAACGTTTTTAAAGATTTTGAAATTAGCAAAAAATTTTCATACACTCTTCATATAATTAACCAAGAAATTAAAATACCAAAACGATTTTAATTGAATGATTATTAATTATATTCATAGAAACATATTTATAAAGGTTATATACCTAGAGTCCTGAACTTTTATATCCTAGATATATTTATTAAGATTTAGCAGGATATGAATGTACTTTAATGTAAGGTAAAGTTACATCAGGGTAAATTCCCTTGTGTATATCTATTAAGTTAATTCCCTTGTGTATATCTATTCCACAATAAATTAAAGCAGACCTGTTTAACTCGTTTAAAGGACAAGAAGAAGGATGTGTTCATTTCCAGGATCATTAAAAATTAATCTTTGATTCCTGTGATTTGGAATTTCATTGTGTCTCAGCTTTATCACAAATATCAACACAAGATACAAGGAGCCTAGATTCTTCAAGCTTTTCCTATAGCCAGATTTATCATGATTTTTTTTTTTTTTTTTGATACATAAAGTAACTTTTAATACTGGCACCTAATACTGAATGCTCACAAGCCCTTTCAAATCCAGGGTCTATTTCATTTGTTATATTTTGGCCATGAAAATATTTTTTTAGATACTCACTTTTTTTAAATATAAATAATCTATTGTTTTTTACAGATTAGCAACCTTTTCTAGGTTATTTAAAGCCAGATAATATTTTTAGATTTTAAGAATTATTTTGGAGATAATAATGATTCATTGATACAAGTCCTACTATTTAACCCATAGGGGGGGGAGAATAGGTGTGTTCATACCTTACCCAAGGGTATTGTGCATGTGAATATAATGAATGCAACTAGAATTGGAACTCGGCTTTCTAATTTCAAGACGTTATCCACTACACCAGCCATACATCCAAACTTACAGCAGCTGTTATTCCTAATCAGTCACCTATTGTTGTGGCCTCGTTAGGGGCCAGAAATAAAGACACAAAGAGAGGAATGGAGTTAAACAAATATATTAACAGAAACAGTAATAGAAAAATTATCAAAAAAGAGTGTTGTAGCAAGAAGGTTTGGTTTGACTGTCAGAGCTGACTGCTGGAAACCTCACCTTCCAAAAGGCAGTACCTGCTCCTATTTATAGCTGGGAGAGTCCATGCATGCATGGGTAAATTACCATAACAGATAGATAAAGGACATAATGAGATAGTGTTGTGGCCTTTTTAGGGGCCAGAAATAAAAATACAAAGAGGAATTGAGTCAAACAAATATATTAACAGAAACAGTAAAACAAACATATACAAACAAGAGTGTTACAGTAAGAATGTTCGGTCCAATTGTCAGAGCTGACTGCTGGAAAACTTCCCTCTCCAAAAAGCAGTACCTGCTGCTATTTAAAGCTGGGAGAGTCCACGCATGTGTGGGTAAATTACCATACCACCTATTTAAGTAATGACCAGGCTTGATGTTACTTAACTTTGGTAATCATATGAGAACTAGTGTTTTGACCTGATATGGCCATAAGCCTTCCTTTTTTCATTTTTTATGTTGTATAAGAGGAATGATAGTAAATAATATATTTTTCCTGTGTTGGTAAAGTTATTCTATTCCTGGCAGTATCAGGTGCTCTTGCTGGTATTTGGTCTATAACTAAATTCTTCCTGTCTCTTATTTTTCAGGCAACACTTCAAGTTGGTGGTCATGGTGAACGGTTAGTACAATGCCAAGAAGTGAAACTCGTCAGTCATAAAACATTACCTATGCAAGTTGATGGCGAGCCATGCAAGTTACGGCCCTCCACAATCATCATTAGTCTTAAGAATCGGGCTAACATGATCCAGAAATGCAAAAGGAGAGGTTCTGTGCCTATCATTGAGTAAGTACTTTTCACTCATTAATAATACAACACATATTTACTATTGTTGTAGCTTTGTTAGGGGCCAGAGAGAAAGACACAAAGAGAGGAATTGAGTTAAACAAATATATTAACAGAAACAGTAATACAAACATATATAAACGAGAGTGTTACAGTAAGAATGTTTGGTCCAACTGTTAGAGCTGATTACTGGAAATTTCCCTCTCCAAAAGGCAGTACCTGCTCCTATTTATAGCTGGGAGAGTCATGCATCAGTAAATTACCATAACAACTATTTAATTTAAGATTCTGTGCATTTGTCTACTTGGAAACCTGAAAATTAAATATATATAAAGTTTGTTGTCTATCCATGTATGTGAAAAAATATTATGACGTCAGATAAATGCATTTAGGAATTTATCCATACGCCCACTCAAATAGAATTTGGCACAAGGCCCATTTTAAAGTTGGAGTCCCAATGGGACTAGAAAAAATATTTCTCAGGTTCCTTCAGAATTTCTACTTTGGGGATGCCTCACACATCAGAAATCAACTCTCGTTCTCCCTTGTGAGAAAGCCCCATAACCTGAGTTTAATAAGAACTAGATGAGGAATTCTATTTTGAGATATATTTGAACATCCACAGCTTATGGCATAAGGCCAAGTTTAACGTGGGATATGCATGTGTACATCATATGATGGAAAAGAAATTACTCATGCTTCTTCAACATTCTCCTTTGGCACTAGAAATTAACCCTAAACTTCCTTTGTGAGTGAGGTATTGGCTTGGAAAACAGACATGTAGAGTTAAGCTTAATAAGGACTACATAAGAAATGAGATTGTCAGATTTATTCAAATGCTCACTTGAATGGAGTATGTCACAAGGCCAAGTGTAATGTGGGACTCCCAAACTCAGATTTGAAATGAAAATTGCTCAATCTCCCTCAATATTTTCACTTCAAGGACATCACAGGCACTGGAAATAATTGCCAGTCGATAGGGCAGATTTGAAGCTAGTTTATAATAAGATGTGAACTGCAGTTTTGGATACAAAAGGAAAATAAGAGTTACTCCCCTTGAGTCATAAAAGCAATGATAATAGCTAGTATAATATATTAATATATATTTTTAACCTTGCATAATCTGGCAACCCTGAATCTGTGCTCAAAAAAATCATTCCCTGCACCTAACTTTTCTAGGGCTTTTGAATGACCTATGGATCATTGAAATCAGACCAGTGGGAGTGGAGGAGTTGATGGGGACACACACCCACAAACACACATACACTGTACTTTATATATAAGATTATACACAGGAAACCCTCCATGAACACAATGCTTCTATCTGTATCAGTAGTAGATGTGCAAGCAACCAGCATTTTGCAGATGATATTGAACTTTTGGCAAGTAGTAACAGTGAGCTGCATGGAGACATCGATTGACATTACATTTACAGGGAAACAGGGAAAGGGGAGGGAGTTCCACAGGTGAGAAGTGTGAGACATGATGCTATTGGAGTAGAAGAGACGGCTACATTTAACAGTTTTGATAGTGAAAGTGTGAGAGCGAGATGCCAGCCTAGTAGAACGCTTAAATTCATAAAGTCTGGGAACCAGAAAAAGCAGCTCATTGGAGTAGTTACCATGAAAGTATTTGTAAAAAAGACAGAGGGAGGCAACAGCACATCTGTGAGAGAGCAATTGCAGATGAGATGCATATTAGGGCCAATTACATTACATATCCGTCTCTGAATTTTATCAAGAACCTTGAGGCAAACAGAAGAGGCTCTAGACCATATATGGCAGCAGTTACTAACCAGGTTTGATGTTGCTTAACTGATTGTATGAGAATGAGTGTTTTAATGTAATATGGCTATAAGCCCATGGAAAAATAAGAAGTCACTTTATATAATAAATAAATTATGTCTTACAAAGAAATGGTTCAGAATAAGAAATCTGAATTCAAATTTCAGTCGCATTTACTTATGCTCAAATAACCTTGGGTCAAATGTAAATCTATCTCCTTCTCTCATCTATGGGTTAAATAGTAGAACTTGTATCGGGAACTATTGTTATTCGGAAAAAAGTGTTAATGCAATATTCTCTCGCAAAAAAATACTGTATTATTCTTGCAATCCAAAATATATTTAAGCTTGAAATAACCCACTAAGGGTTGATAAAACATAAAAAATCTATCAATATACATGAGGAATATAAAGATCAACAAACAGAAATAGTCTCTTTTACAGAGAAAAGTACAAAAAACTGTATATCCTGCTCTATACAGATATGTTCGTGGGCATTTGTTATCTATTTACCTGAGCAGATTTAACAATGTTATTCCATTATCTTACTTATTATAAAATGCAGATTGTGTGTGTGTGTGTGTGTGTCTGTACGTTTATATATTGGATCGGATTTCCTACATTTTTCAACCGATTTCAACAAAACTTCACAGGACTGCGTAAAATTACCTTGCGGTGGTTCTGACAGCACCAAAAATTGGAAAAACACAATTGTTTCTGCACGAAATCAATTTGAAAACACGGTAAAACATGATTCTGTTGCCAGAATGAAATGGGGACAACTCATATCAAGTGATACTTATTATAAAACCCAGGTTGTTTGTATGTGTGTTCGTGTTCATTTATATATGGGATCGAATTTCCTACATTTTTCAACTGATTTCAACAAAACTTCACTTTTTTTTGACAGGTAGTGTTTCTTATTGTCTTGCACACTTTTTACTTTATTTTTACATTCAGAATGCTTTAAAAATTCCATTTACAAGACAACTGTTTATAATAAAATTCTATTCAATCGATAGACTCATAACGATTGAAAACAATGTTTTTGTTTGGGTTTTAGCAATTCGTAAAAAAAATAATAAAAAAACAAAAAAAAACTAATTAAGACATGCATGTCCATCAACCTTAAACAATAATCTTTGTCGATTTTATTTTACAGTCTTTATGTTGGTCGATACTTGATCTATCTCTTACTGCTACATCCCCAGGCAACGCCGGGCTCTACTGCTAGTTGTATATATGTAGATGAATCCTTTTACCAAACTGTTCTCAAAGTTAGAAATAAAATAAACAAAGTTGTTTTCATGAATATACCTTTTTCCTCAAAAAAAACCCATGTCAATAAAAACAATGCAATATCAATAAATTCTTATAATAAGCGGAAGTATAGGTTTTATCAAGAAGACTCCAAAAGTAACGCTTCCTATCAATTTTCAGCTATAGGAAGCTCAGAAACATTGTTGGATTCAGCAATCTCCACAAAAACATTTTTGCACACTGTCACCACCATTGGCTATGAATGCAAGCTGGCATGGCACACTTGTAAACATTGCTTGTTGCATATATTAATGTTATCATTGCTGAAATGCATTATCCACAGCTTCACTATGCTTATGACTACTGCTTCATTTCTGTCCAACCAACATCGGTGAATGTCAATGGATGCAATTTTTTCTGTGAGGGAATTCAGTGAAACACTTCTGTCATGTATGTATTTTAAAGTCATTCTGCCAGACTGGCACTCAGCTGCTATATTAAAAAAGACCCAATTAATTGTGTTTTATTAGCAAGAAGTCTCAATCTCTATTGAAATACCACCAACATCTGCTCTCTGACATCCTCAGCCAACATAATAGGTGGCATTACTTTCAGTGTGCTTCAACCAAACACATCTATTTACATTATGAACTGTTGCCCTCATCTTTATTGGCATATTCACAACGTTTCAGATGTTGTACACTCCGGCCTTCTTCAGGTGATATTTGTTGGCACTTCAAATCAAACCTTTTGTTTAACCCACAGGAGTAAACTGTTCTAATTTCACATGCCATTCTTCTGGGTGTCTCAATTTTAGTTAATTCCCCTTGATAACTCAACTCTCAAAGTTTTTGTTCTCACTGCTGTGGCCAGGAATGGAACTCACAACTCAAGTTGTTTACTTGGGTCAAATAACCAAAAATTTTATTGCTAAGAACACATGGCCCAGTGGATAAAAGTTGGTTGATTGACCCAAAGAGTCTTGAGTTCAATCCTTGATTAACTACATCACAGCCTTCCCTCTACATCCCCTGCCACTGAAATGCAATTGTTTTCTTCATAACACATTTTCCATAAGCCATTTATTTACCACTCTTCACACAAAACTTGATGTTAATCCACTGCTTCAGATTCCTTTCACTCAGATTCCATCAACATTTAACATGAACACATGCAACTTCTGATACTGTTTGGCAATGAATGATTTATCAGGTCTGCATCTCAAGATAGTAGAACGTGAAACCTGTCTAGACATATGAATGTTTTCTTAACACCCTAGTACAGTATAACCTGGATATAAGAGAGTTGTCGGGACTGGAGAAGAAGTCTCTTATATCCGGGTTTCTCTTATATCTGGGTTTGGGCTATTTTATATACATTAACACAGGCTCTAATTTGGGACCAGAGAAAATCTCTCTTATATCCGGGTTACACTGTTCATTTTACTGCAGTCATTTTTTTTTTAGTAGTAAAGTTCATCCTGTACAAGTCCCAGGGGCCACTCAAGGTAGAGGGTTATATTAAGAGACAGTTTATGTAGATCGGAGAGGAAGATAACAGTTAATCCTAGACTTGAACAGGTTAAGATTGTAGTGATTAGAGAAACACCCTCTTGGGAGTCAGTTCACAGAGCTGTGGTTTGTGAGAAGAGGCTGTTTGAGTGAAACTTACTTTTCACCAATGGAACACAGAGTGGGTGGTTTGCTACAATGTGAGTGACATGTCAGGTCCTAGCCATGAAGGTTAGAATTGGAATGTAGTTCGTTTTGAGCACAAGTAGCAATAGATCAGCGAGAGGCTTGCCACATCCTGCCTGTGGGACAGAGGTTGGAAAATAATTTGTCACTCAGAAGGACCCAGAGACTCTATTCAAACTGGAGAATGAGGACTGGGCAGCCTCCACCCAAATATGATGACAGTACTCCAATTTTGGCTTGATCTGGTTCTTGTAAAGGTAGAAGATAGCAGGAGTCAGGTACTTACTAGAGCAGTATAGGGAACTGACCATTTTTCTTGCATCTTTAGCAATGGATCATATGTACAAGTTCCAGTTGTGATTAGGTTTGAGTTTAAGGCCTAATAGCCTCACAAGGCATGGAGACTACCCAAAGGGACACCTATTCATCAAGACTGGCATTGGTAGTAATTCAGTGATTCTGGGAATTAACTTGTCACAACTTCATGGTTATTTGTGCCTAGATGAATACAACTAACCTGACTGGAATTGGATCTCTGCTCTCTGATTTCAAATTCCAAGCCGTTATCCTTTACACCACCCACACATCCAAGTTTACTGCATCTCTTATTCTCAAGTGGTTGCTCATCTAGTTACTAACCAAGGAGATAAGCCCTTTCTGTATATCTACAACATGACCCATGTGACTTACCTCTGCCTAAGGGAGATAAGCGCTTTCTGTATACCTGCAATATGACCTGTGTGACTTATCTCCGCCAAAGGGAGATAAGCCCTTTTTGTATACCTACAACATGACCCGTGTGACTTATCTCTGCCAAGGGAGATAAGCGCTTTCTGTATACCTGCAATATGATCTGTGTGACTTATCTCCACCAAAGGGAGATAAGCCCTTTCTGTATAAATACAACATGATCCATGTGACTTATCTCTGCTAAAGGGAGATAAGCGTTTTCTGTATCCCTACAACTTAATCTCTATTTCCTATCACATTCTCTTTCCATATCACAAACCTCTTTCATCATTACCATTGATGGATCAAGCATTGATTGTGTGGAATTTAAAAAAATGTCCTGCTTAGAGATGGCCCTCTATGTTTGAAATATATTGTACTTCATTTTAATCCAGGCTTAGGTGAGTAAATAAAAATGGTGGGATTTTAGCTAGAGAAAGAATTAGGAAGGAGTTTCAGTCATATGTATTAGGCATAAGTAAAATGTTTGAAAAAAATATAGAAGATGGTAATTAAAAATAAGTGAGGAATTAAGAAAACCTGGTATTGAAAGAATTGTGACCGGTGACCCTGAGACTAAAGTTAGTTAGTCTCAGAGTCACAAAAATCTTTTCCCAACTCTGAATTTGATTTTGCAACCTGAGAATCTTAGAATTAGACATTTTTGCTAGACTTAGCCTTTTTTCAATTCTGATTGCTCTAATGATTCGATCATTGATTTTTTTCAGTCCTCCTTCTGTGAGACAACTGGGTATCCATGTGAATCGAATTAGCATGCCAGATTATGAAGCTCTTCATTACGAAAAGGAAAAACTAAGAGAAGCTTGTAAGTACATAAGAATTGCATTTATTTGTTTGATATTTTGTTGTCTTTTTTATTCATTTTAGTAAATTTTATTATTTATTCTTGTATTTATTTTTTTTTTTATTTATTTCAGTTTTTTATTTTTCTGTCATATTTTTATTTTTAATTTTATTGACGTGTCTAACAAGAAACATATTTTCAATTTAAATTATTTTTTAGATATTTTTGTTTCATTTTTATTCACTATTGATTTCAATTTATCTTTTATTTAGCTTATTTGTTATTTTTTATTTATAATTTTTATTTGTATTTATTTTCCTTTAATTATCTATTTGCTTTTTATTTTTGGCTTTCTTTTTTAGTTTTAGTTTTTTCATTTCTTTATTTTATTTATGTTTTATTTTTATTTATTTTTTTAATTTGTTTTTAGTTTTTATATATTTTATTTCTTTTTGTCTTTTTTTCTCGGTGACTTATTTTTATTTAATTTATATATTTTATACTTTACCTCTTGGTACATAATTATAACTGATACTTACTTTTATATCTCCCTCTCCTCCCCCAACACATGTATGATTCCATCAACAAAAACATTAGATTCATCTTATAAAGTGCTTTGAGAAGACTAAACTCATTACACATAATTTTCATTTACCTGACATTTTCTGATATTATTTATATTATTTTTTTGGTCATTGATGCACTCTGTAGACAAGAGGTCAAACCACATCAGATCTAATGATGGTTTCTCCTGGGGGAAACCAGGTTCAAATCCTGCCTGGGAACACACACATTTCTCTCGAATAACATTTCTTGAATATTCAAGTCAGTAGATGAAAATAAATAAATATATTGTTTAATAAATAAATGGAGTGTCTACTCAAATATGAGTAAGCACCAAAAATAATGTTGGATTAATAAATAAAAAATCCATTCCTTTCTTTATAAATTACTTTGTTTACATTAGAATACAAAACTGAGTAGATATGTTTATTTCAACAGTCAGAGAAAAATTTATCTTTAAGGCAC